ATTCACTGCATTCTCATGAATTTTCATGCATTCACTGCATTCTCATGAATTTTCATGCATTCCTGCATTTTCACAAATTTTCATGCATTCACTGCATTTTCACGAATTTTCAGGCTCCTTTGTGTATGTCAGTTCGTGGAAATTATGCTATCAAGTCTGTGGTGGCTTGAGTAGGGCTGAGAATATACAGAACGGTTGCCGAGGAAACCAAACTGACACTCTGTCAGATAGGATTGCATGTCCAAATGTATATCCAGCTGAAATTAATACGATACAGAAGAAGGACATTTGGATGCTCGTGGCAACTTGGATGTCTTTCCCCCCCCATCTTTGGGGTTTTTAACCTCAATTTGTAGGCATGTGTCCATGAAAAGATCTTCCTTATTCACTAGGACAATCTGCCAGTGTTCCAACTAACCAACTGATAAACTCCATGACAAACAGTTCCTCAAGGTTCTATTTTATCAGAGTTGTCATATTGGTGCATCTTCCCAAAAGAGAAATAAAAGATCCATCCCCCCTTTATCCATCAATCCATCACATGGCCCAATCAAATCTTTGTCCCAACTGGAGACATAACTCCAATCACTCCCCTCCAGGTGCAGGGCAACACGTCCTTGACTCTCTGAGAAAGAATGTTGTTGTGTCTAGTTTTCTACCCCACTATGAAATCCCCACTCCCAAATTCCCAGGCACTAAATGTGGCAACCTTGAAGCTTCCAAGTAAAAAAAATTGCTTCCAAGGCTGACACAATCACAGTCCATCATAAGATTGAAATTCCTGTAAACCATCTTGGAAACCATTATTTGGTTAACATCTACCCAGCTTAACCCCTGAGAACATCTGGAGAGAGAGGTACTTCTTTGTGGCCTGACCATTAGTGGTCCCTCTACCAAACTACCTGGTTTTGATTTGCTTTGTCTGGTGAACAAAATTAGGTATATTCATATTTATAAGGTCTTTTTAGAGTTGCCAACAGAAAGGGAGGGTGGGAGTAGTGCAGCAGCTTGCAAAACCGAAAGTGCATTCCATAAATGTTTTCAAAGATAGTAACTAGGTGAGTGAAGTTTCTACCGTGCAAAATTCTAACTGGAGAGCATGATTGATGACTCTTGGCTATGGATGTGTCCCATTGGAGAATATGGATTATGATACACCCAGGGGTGGGGTGGGAAACCAGGGTCAAGGGTGACAGGGAATGATGTCCCTCAGAGTCAGCTATACCTAGGTAGTGCCGGACATGTTAACTCCCAATAAATCCTTTTGACGATTTGGAAGTTTGGTTCGACACTCATGATTTAAATGGGGGTAACTGCCGGAATCCTGACATTAGGTATGACACTGGAAGAAGTGTCTCTGCCCTGTATCCATGGAGAAGGAAAAAGTCTCCTTGTTGTGAAAGGAAAATGCAAACTATTAAAGAAATTCTGCAAGATTGCCCACAATGTACATTCTCTTGTTCCCTAGAAAACCTGCACGAAGCAATGCCAGAGAAATAATGGAATAACAGAAGAGTTGGAAGGACCTTGTAGGTCATCTAGTCTAACCCCCACCCCACCCAAAAAGGAGACCATTCACTATTTCTGACAGATGGCAGTCCACTCTCTTCTTGAAAGCTTCCAGGGATAAAGCTCCACAACTTCTGAAGGCACCTCCTGTTCCATGGGTTGATTGTTCACTGTCAGAAAATGTCTCCTTAATTCCAGGTTGCTTCTTCTCTCCTTGATTAGTTTCCATCCATTGCTTCTGGTCTTCTCTTTTGGTGCTTTAGAAAATAGCTTGACCCCTTCCTCCTCTCCGTGGCAGCCCTTCAAATATTGGAAGATGGCTATCCTGTCTCCCCTGGTCCTTCTCTTCACTAGACTAGCCATGCCCAGTTCCTGCAACCATTCATTGTATGTTTTAGCCTCCAGTCCCCTAATCATCTTGGTTGCTCATCTCTGCACTCTTTCTAAATCTCAACCTCTTTTTTTATAGTGTGATGACCAAAACTGGATGAGTATTCTAGGTATGGTCTTACTAAGGCTTTATAGAGTGGTATTAGTACCTCACATGATAATAGTAAGTAATAAAAAGAAGGTTGATCATTGTGTGTTGATGCTAGATGCTTATTTGGTATTCTTTTTCTAAATGTTGAGAACAAGATCAACAAAGCTTGAGCCCACTTGGGAAAAAGGGAACCTTACTTTGCAACAGAGTGAAAATAAATTGTGAAGAAATTTATGTCTCCTCGCTTTGCAAAATTAGACACGCAATTTACCTGAGCACAATGAAAAGAGGAGGATAAACAACAACAAAGGAAACCTGTGATAGAATAGGCTAAAAGCACAGAATGAATATGAACTGATGTATGCAATTATTTCTCATAGCATAAATTCGAATGTACTTCAATGCTCATTGAAACTCAGATATAAATGGGATGGGGAGTTCCCATTTCCAAACACTTTTGAAAAGAACAATTCCAGATACGTTTAGTCTTTTCATGACAAAATAAGAGTTTTAAGAGTCTTAAGAGTTTACTTATTTTTTAACCTGATCAGCTGATCCACAGGAAAGGACCAGAAACTTATCTCATGATATCACAGAATGAGCTTGCTGTAAAATCGTACCTCAATAATCCCCACCCCCAAAACATACCACTTTACATTCATAGACAAAAAAGATGAGATTTAACTTCAGCCAGAGGTTCACTTGCAGTCTTGAAAAGCTGTCTCTTTTCCCAAATCCCTAAGAATGGTAATTTGAAGAAACAAATCTCTAGAAAAAGTCATTTTCTTCTGTTTTTGAATTGTCACTAAATGAATGATTGTAAGCTGAGGACTATCGGTACTAGGAGTTTCACAGAATGTTTACGCACCCTGTACGGCATTTCATTTTAAAAAATGAAAGCATGTTTGATCTGGCCACAATGATCCCTGAGTCACTCTTAAAAAAAGAAAGAAAGATTAAAAGTGCTTTTATACCGGAAACAGAGGCATTTCATGTCATATATTTCAACAAGATATGTTATTTAGCCTACCTGCATCACGAATGAGTCTCTTGATTTATACAGTCTTGATTTATACATAGACACTGTTTACTCCCCCAAAATGTAGTCTAATTGCAGTGAACAAGGACACACATTCAATTTTGCAGCTACTCAGATTGTTGGACAAGCAGGGACAAAAACAGCCAGAGAAACTATTGAAGCCTGGGAAAGAAGGCTCCTCACAGGAGTGCTGATTTACAACAAGCTTATCAAATACTTAGGAGGCAAGGGCTTGCAGCCCAAGGAAATCATGATTTAATAGCCGGCCATCAAAACCCGAATCAACAACTAAAAAGCCGCACACAACCAGGCATCACATATATACCCCACATAGAATAGCCCAAGGCACACATTCTCATAGGCAGAAGTTCCCTGAGGACGGGGCTCCAGCACGAAAACTCGGAAAACCAAATCTTTGGTCCCGGTGACCGATCCAGATTGGATCCAGCAACATTATCCTAGGACACGTAGATTCACCTTCGTTCATGTATTCAAACCTTCCATCATTTTGAGGTTTTAGTGCAGCAAATATTCAATACCACTTCACTCTGACATCCGCTTCCCAAGGTTTCAGAGAAACCTCTTTTTAGAGTGACACCTTTGCAAATTTTGATAAAGCAGCTCAGTTTGTATAAAATGACCATCTCCTATTTAGGGCTTTTAAATTTCAAAAATCCAATAAATCCAATAATCCATTAAATTATTATTATGAATTAAAAGAGGAGTTAACTAAATGATGTATAAGATAAAGGGGTGGTACATTCAAATTAGTAATTAAAGGGGAAACTTTTTGAATCATTAGAATTAAGATGGAACTTTTGGAATAATGAAATAAGAACATGTGATGAAATGGCAAATGTGACAGATTAAAATATAAAGCAAAATGAACATGAAGACATGAAAACTATTTAAAATAAAAAGAAATAACTTAAGAGAGGAATAGAAATATATAAAATAAAATTGAAGAATATAAGAATATCTGAGAAACTTCATAGAAAATATGAAATGTAATATGATATGAAATCAAATGTGAAAAATGAATATGTAACCAAGGTCATGTTTGAATGGAAATGTGAAAACCTGGAAGCATGCTGTTCACTAAAAGAGATGTTTCTTTGAAATATAAAAAAATAAAAAAAACTTTTTACAAAAAATAATTACCATCTCATAGAGGAGGGGTGGAGGGAAAATTGTGTTGGTTTAACGCACACCAACACAATAAGGCTATGTATGACTTGTGGAGATCAGCTGGCTGTAAAGTTTGCAACCTGCTACGTTCCTGGTTGTGTATAAACTATTCTTTACTGCTGACTAAACAGATCCATAACTAATTATTTCTGATTTCTCTTGCTGGAAATGATTTCATTTTACATTCATCTGTCACCAAAAATGTTGGAGAAGGAGAAGGCTACCCTGGCATGAGGCTGCACACATCTTGGTTTTAAAGACGAACATAAAGGAGGTGTTTATCAGGAAGCAAAGTGTTAGAGAGTTGAATCCCTGCAATTCTGTCCAGGAAAACCTGATTTACAAAGCAACAGCAGCCTTTCAAAGCTATTTGAGCGTACTAATATATCTTTCTTTTGAATTCCCTTTTCAAGGCTGGGTGGGAGAATTTAGATGGATGATTCCCAACAATCCAGGAAATTAGATACCAGCAAATATTGGATGATATATAAAAGGATTTTAGAACAGATGTTCAAAGTTAGCAAGAGGTGATTAATTCTACTCAGTATGTATTGCTTTTATTATAAGCCCAATTAATGCAAATCTAATGATTTTAAAAGGGACGCAGTGGCTCAGTGGCTAAGACGCTGAGCTTGTCGATCAGGAAGGTTACCAATTTGGCAGTTTGAATCCCCAGCACCGCATCACGGAGTGAGCTCCTGTTATTCGTCCCAGTTTCTGCCAACCTAGCAGTTCGAAAGCATGTAAAAAATGCAAGTAGAAAAATAGGGACCCTTTTGGTGGGAAGGTAACAGTGTTCCATGCACCTTTGAAGGCGTTTAGTCATGCCAGCCACATGACCACGGAGACGTCTTCGGACAGCGCTGGCTCTTCGGCTTTGTAACGGAGATGAGCACCGCCTCCGAGAGCTGGAAACGACTTGCAAGGATGTGCAAGGAGGGGAATCTTTACCTTTAGTTTAATGATTTTCTAGTTCTGAGTTTACAGCAAGGTTTGAGTGATAGGAAGGCCACATTCTAAGCTATTGCAAAGCAGCAAATTTTAACTCGGCTCTTCTAAAGGAAAGTAGAGATGAGTGTGGAAAGGAAGGAATAAATTCTTACAGCAGCTCAGTCCTCAATACTGGTACTCCTCGACTTATAGCCACAATTGAGCCCAAAATGGCCACTGCTAAGCAAGATAGTTGCTAAGTGAGTTTTTGCCCCATTTCATGACCTTTTTTGCCACTGTTGCTAAGTGAAACCCTGCAGTGGCTAAGTTAGTAACCTGGTTGTTAAGTGAATCTGGCTTCCCCATTGAGACTGCTTGTCAGAACATCGCAAAGGGGATCACATGACCCCAGGACATTGCAACCATCATAACTATGAGTCAATTGCCAAGTGTCTGAATTTGGACCAGGTGACCAGGTAAGTGTGAAACACGGGCCAAAGTCCCTTTTTTCCCCAGTGCCCTTGTAACTCCCAATAGTCACTAAATGAATGGTTGTTAAGAAACATTTGCAAGTAAAACAATGAAAGAGGGAAACTAAAACTATCATCCCCTTGTCTAGTATCAGTCTGGGCAGAAAAAAAAAATGTTGAAGGTTCTGTTGCTACACCCTACAACCCTAAAATATAATTTCTGGAATCTTTGCACTTCTGTTGGTTGGCCTATTTTGGAAATGTTGACAGCTGGAAGAAGCTTCATATGGGCATATTGTGAAGGTTTTCTGATAAACGTCCATCTGTTTCACCCAGGGGTGGGTTTCAAAAATTTTAGCAAAGGGTTGTCTGCCCAGGGCTGGGTGGGCATGGCCATGGTGGGTGTGGCCTAGTTGGCCTCTTGCACCATGGTGGGGGGGGTTGCCCTCCCCGGGCTCCGGAGGCTCTCTGGAAGTCAGAAACGGGCCCATTTCCAGCCTTCCCGAACTTCCAGGAGGCCCCTTTTTTGCCCTCCCCAAGCCTCCGTCCACGGCCTGCACTTACTTGCACCCAAAATGGGTGGCATGAGGACTCCTGGGAGGGGCATGGTGGGGTGGGAGAGGCCAGCCAGGAGTGGGATTTTGGGGGGTCTCCGAACTGCACAGAATCTTAGCCTAGGGGCTCTCCTGAACCCCTGCAAACCCTCAGCAGCCCCCCCTGGTTTCACCCCTCAATTCTGGGTCATCCATCCCATCCAGTCTGGAGAAGATTTAATAAGCAGGTGTTTTTCACATCCTGAACCACTTCTGAGTATTTGGGACAGCTGAAGTCCAACTCCGTGGAGCATCAAGCTGCCCTCTCGTGAGGGAAAGCATGGAACATCTGACGGAGGAGGAATGGGAAAGGAAAATAGGCAGTGTACCAATATGCAAAGGGATTGTAAACTCCACAGAAAGTAAGAAAAAAAAAGTTTAAAAAAAATGAGGAAAACCTTCATTCTATTAGAGCATACCATAGTTAAGGTTGAACTGGGGCTGGAGTAAACCCAATTCAAGTCTCTCATATAACCGAGTTGGAAGGGACCTTGGAGGTCTTCTAGTCCAACCCCCTTCTCAAGCAAGGAGACCCTACACCACTCCAAACAAACAGTTGTCCAATCTCTTCTTGGAAGCCTCCACAACTTCTGGAGGCAAGTTGTTCCACTGATTAACTGTCCTCACTGTCAGGAAATTTCTCCTTAATTCTACATTTACTGACTAACTTTGAGGTAAAGAAGATCCGCCAGTTTGCTCATTGTTAGCAAGCTATTTGGGGAATGCTGGGAGTTGAAGTCCACCCATCTTAAAGTGGCCAAGTTTGGTGGCCACCAGTCAAGAGTGTTCCTCCCTTCATAATCCCAATTTAAGTCCTATCCTGGTCTGGCCTCTCCTTGCTATTGATGAAGGATGCTCAAAAGCTTCTGCCTTTTAATAAAATTTGTTATGGAGGGAGGAGGGTCCTTGGTGCTTTCTGAGTTTGGTGGTTTTCTTGCAAATGTAGTCAGGAGTAGCACTGGTGATGTTACCTAGTTGGGTCATGAAACATCTGCAAGAAAACTACCAAGCTCAGAGAGCACCAAGGACCCCAGTCTTCCTCCTCCTCCTCCTCCACTCTACACACCTCTCTCCCTCCTAGTACTGATGATGTTACCTAGTTGGGTCACGAAATGTCTGCAAAAGAAAACCACCAAGCTCAAAGAGCCCCCACAAGACCCTTCATTTCAACCCCAAGCTACAAATATTCTCCTTTATTGGTCGAATTTGTTAGTAAGGAAAAGTGTTACCAGATTCCTTCTAAGGGATCACTTTGGAGCTACACCGAAGCGGGGATTGTTCTCAGTCTAATTTTAGGCTTATGTAGCAAAGCTCTCTATGAAAAAGCTCAAGCCAAATCCGCTAGCTGAAATGTAGGCCATCTCACACTATCAGAAGCAGAGGAAGTAACAGCAGGAGGAAAACACTACAAAGTGGAGTCAAAAAACTCTTGCCTGCAGCTGTAAAGTCCTAACTTCCTACAGTTGTAGTCCACGAAGGTTGACATCCAAGTTGTAGCTTAGGAAGGCCAAACCAAAGGCTCAGTGCTTTCTGTCTCCTCACTGGGTTTGGAAATGTTTTGCCCGAGAAAGGGTATATAGCCCAATGATCTGTATTTTTATTCGGATATTAATTCCTTTCATTCAAGCTTTATGAAGTGTCTGTGGCAGCGTGATAAGATGGTGACTCAGCCACTTAGAATAAAATTAGCTCTGCTTTTCTTTCCTGGTTCTTCGAATAGGGTTCCAATAGGATAAAAACAAAAAAATTGAAAAATGTGTAGTTTTGAGAACATGGATTTTCAGATGTTTGGAGAGGAGGAGGGGGGCACCAGGAAGAGGAATGGTGAATTAGAAGGAGAAGAATGAGGAGAAGAAGGAGAAGGACCAAATGGAGGAGGAGGAGGAAGAGGAGGAGGAGGAGGAGAAGGAGGAGGAGAATGATAAAGTAGAAGGAGAAGAGTGAGGAGATGAAGGAGAAGGACCAAATGATGGAGGAAGAGGAGGAAGAGAAAGAGGAGAGGAATGATGAAGTAAAAAGAGGAGGAGAAAGAGTAAATGAAGCTGAAGGGAAAAATATCCAGAATCAGCAGTGAGAAAATAAGTCTCAATAAAGGAGAATATTTGTAGCTCAGGGCTGAAATGAGGGGTCCTTGGTGCTCTGAGCTTGGTGGATGGATGGGTGGGTAGGTAGGTAGGCAGGCAGACAGACAGATAGATAGAGATGGAGAGATAGAGAGAAATAAAGATATAGGAGAGAGAGTGACATATATATAGAGAGAGGGGGGAGGAAGAGGGAGGGAGGGAGGGAAAGGGGGGAAAGAGAGGGAGAGAGAGAAAGAGAGGGAGGGAGGGAGGGAGGGAGGGAGGAATGCATCCTTGGCTACAACTAAAATATCAGATAATATTTAGGCTGGTACTCTTTTGCTCTTCAGACACAATTGCTTTAATATGCCAGACTGTAAATGTAATGCTTTTGGTACAAGTGAAAAGGCCAAAAGAATGAGGTAATTATCTGTTTACAGTTCCAGAATCAGTGCTGTAAAAGCAGAATGAAGTTGTTTAGTCTGCGGGAAACTGGACTGTGTCTTACAAAGAGCACGCACTGAAATATGATCCCATCCAATCTGTACTGCAGTTGTATTTTTTTTTTTTTTTATGAAACCAGCATGCAAATCTGACATGGCAACAGCAAGGAAAAAAAGATGTGTAAATGCAAAATACGACCTTCTGGAAACATGTAGATCTTTTAATCATCCCCATACGCTGCCAGTTTAAACCAACATCTGTGCTGCCAGGATAATAATCATCTGCTATGAAAAAAAAATATTACTAACCTAGGCAACATAGAGCGAACAGATTTGATTGAATATCTACATTGTTGGGAAATATGCACAATTCTTTGTGGCTGTGTTAAGTAATTTCCGATGGTATTAAAAAAACCACAGTTCTCTTTTGATGTAACCCTGGAGAGAATGCATGTTAAACCTTCTACAGCTGGTCCTCAGTTTATGACCAGAATTGGGGCTGGAATTCTGGTCGTAAGTCATTGCGGCCATAAGTCGAGGCAAGGCAAAACCTGACTTAACGTTTTCTACCACTTTTTACAGCAGTGGTTAAAGTGAATCTTGCAGCCGTGAATCCAAATTCAGCCTGTCCCAAATGGGCATTTACACACACACACACACACACAAACACACACACACATATGATTAAACAATACATTGAGGTTTACTGTGTATTCTGCTCTTTAACTGTGAAATAACAAACTGGCACTAAACAATATTCAGTCCTTAAGTCATTGCACTCCAGCTATGTCGTAACTGATGGATAATAAGAGCATTTCCCTTCTTATCTCTTCCTAACTTATGACTATAACCGTGTTGCTTGTATCTTTACAATTTATATTGTTTTGTTTGTTCCCTAGTATGATTTCATTGCTTATTAGTAACCTATGACTATCACTAAGTGTTGTATCTTAGGATTGATGAACGTATTTTATTTTTTCTTTATGTACACTGAGAGCATTTGCACCAAAGACAAATTGCTTGTGTGTCCAATCACACTTGGCCAATAAAGAATTCTATTCTATTTCTATTCTATTCCATTCCATTCCATTCTCTATTCTGTTCTATTAATTTTCTATTCTACTCTACTCTCTTTTCTCTTCTATTCCATATTTCTATTCTTTTCTATATTTTATTCTATTTTCTATTCTATTCTACTATATTTTCTACTATTTTCTATTCTATTTTCTATTCTATTCAATTCAATTCAAATGTCCTTTTTCAGGAGGCAACTGGACTTTCTTGTTTTTTTACTTTTGAAGACATTTCACTTCTCATCCAAGAAGCTTCTTCAGCTCTGACACAATAGTGGGGAATGTCAGAGCTGAAGAAAATTCCTGGATGAGAAGAGAAATGTCTTCAAAAGAAAAAAACACTCCAGTGTCTTTTGAAAAAGCACTTTTGGAACAACCAGGACC